CTGCCTTTTCGTCAAGAAAGGTGGAACTTCGGAACTCCGCATGTGCACAGACTACCGCGCCTTTAACCGGATCACGATCAAGAACAAGTACCCCCTATCTCGGATTTCCGAGCTCCTTGATCGTCTTTGTGGAGCCATGTACTTTACTTCGTAGTGGCTTCCACCAGATCCGTATCCGCGAGGAGGACACTCACAAGACCGCCTTCCGCTCTCGGTTCGGGCACTACGAGTTCCTCGTGATGCCATTCGGACTCACCAATGCCCCCTGTACCTTCCAATCCACCATGAACCACATCTTCCGCAACCTCCTCGAAGTTTGTGTCGTTGTCTACCTTGATGACATCCTTGTCTTCAGCCCCACCTTCGAGTCCCACCTTCAGCACCTCCGCCAAGTCCTCGCGATCCTCCGAGAGCAAAAATTCTACGCCAAGCTCAGCAAATGTACGTTTGCCGCTTCGAGCGTCGAAAACCTCGGCCATATTGTCTCCGCTGAAGGCATCCGTATGGACCCCTCAAAGGTCACAGCCCTCGTCGAGTACCCCCCACCCAAGACCCTCCTCCAACTCCGTTCCTTCCTTGGCCTTGTCAACTATTACCGCCCGTTCATTCGCAACTTTTCCGAGATCTCGTACCCTCTCCACGAACTCACCCGCAAGGACGAGCCCTTCCATTGGAACGATCACCGCCAACACGCTTTCAACTTACTCAATCAAACCATCACCACGGTCCTTGTCCTCAAGATCGCCGACTCCACTCGCCATTTCTGTGTCACCACTGACGCCTCCGACTTCGCCATCGGCGCCGTACTGTCCCAACATTTCCCCCGCGACACCGCCGAGACCCCCTCCATGAAGGACTCGCCCACTCACCCCGAGGCTCCACCTGGCGAATACCCTATCGCCTTCGCAAGCAAGGAGCTCCTTCCTACGGAGATGAATTACCCCTCCAACGAGAAGGAACTCCTCGGCGTGATTCACGCCCTCACAGTCTGGCGCCCGTACCTCGACGGGCAATACTTCACCATCCGCACTGACAACACCATCGTCTCCTCCATCCTCTCCAAGAAAGATATCACTCCACGCCAAGCCCGCTGGCTAGACTTCCTTGCCCAGTTCACATTCACCATTTGCCACACCCCCGACAAAAGCAACCGCGTTGCCGATGGCCTCTCGCGACGACCCGACCACAAGCCCCCCGAGAAAGTCTACGCCACCATGACTCATATTCAACTCCTTCCATCGCTTCATCATCGATACACCCAAGGCTATCTCTCCTGCCCAGACTTCGCCACCATTTACAACAAGCTCCGCGATCTTGACTCAATTCCCGACTACTCCCTTCACAACAATTTCCTCTACATCGATACCAAAGGCACTCGCCGACTTTGCATCCCCGATGCACGAGGCCTCCGTACTCAGCTGTTGGCCGAGCACCACGACGCCAACACCGCAGGACATCTCGGTTTCTTGAAGACCTTCGACACCATGTCCCGCTACTTCTACTGGGCTTCCCTACTCGCCGACGTTAAGGCATACATTTGCTTGTGCCCCACGTGTCAAGCTGTCAACCCCTCGAACCAGGCCAAACCCGCCAAGCTCCAATCATTGCCCATCCCAACTCACCGGTGGCAGTCCATCTCCATGGACTTCGTGTGCGGCCTGCCCAAGATCGACCGCGGGCATGATTGCATCTACGTCATTGTCTGCCGCTTGACCAAACGTGCCCACTTCATCCCTTGCACGACCTCGCACAGTGCCAAAGACGTCGCTACACTCTTCTTCGACCATATTGCTCGCCATCACGGCCTCCCCGAGAACATCATCAGTGACCGTGATCCTCGCTTCCTCTCACAATTCTGGAAACACCTCTTCACGGCCTACGGAACCACGCTAAAGTATAGCACTGCATTCCATCCACAGACCGATGGACAAACAGAGAAGATGAACGATACACTCCAAAGAATCCTGCGGAAGTATTGTCATCCACACCAACACGATTGGGATCAATTGCTCACAGCCGTCGAAATTGCCTACAACAATGCTGTCTGCCCCTCCACTGGCATGTCCCCTTTCTACCTCGACCTTGGCTACCATCCCCGCTTGCCCTCTGATTTCTTGCTTCCCTCGCAGCTCAGCCCCT